ACATTTTTGCGTCAAATACTTTACTTATTTATTAATAATTAGATAAAAAAAACTAAAACTTATTGTATGGATCGATTGATGAATAAAGTATAGTTTTTTTCAATATTTTATTGTATTGGAACGGCGAATTGATTTATTTTTGACATAGGAAGCTACCGAATTGCCTCCCTATGCTATCTTTGCAGCTTTTTCACTAACTTTACCAACGAAGCACTAGCACTCGATACAAAATTTCCATACAATCCCATCTTAGTCTAACGTCTAAAAATCCGTGTTTATTTAATACAATTGTGAATGGAAGTCGATTCAAACTGCACAATCCCGGTAAGGCAATGCTTAATTACTTGGCGGAGCAATATATCACTAATTAACGTTGATGAGCCATTTATTTTCTTAATTACGACCCTTTATTGATACATACCGGCGCATAGGTGTGCATTCTTGGGTTTCAAACAATGGATTTAGGTCGGTATTGTATTGAATGGAAAAGTTTGTATGTTATAAATTCTATCAATAAGACGCTAGACTAAATATATTTGTATTACCTCTCTAATTCTTCCCGTGGGTAGGTATCTTTAAAAGCTCTGTTGCTGTCATAATGAGACAACTAATACCTAAAGTAAGTGTTCGAGAGAGACCATTAATAGGTAAGGTTTAAAATGAAACAACTATAATGCTCTGATCAGCTGATTCGAAATATCCGGACTTTATTCTGTATTTGACCGAACACGAAAACCAACAAATCGAAGCCGTTCATAACGTAAAATAAAACTCGATATTCTTTACCTCATTAAACTTTATGTTACAATTTAAAGCAAAGCGCAATCTATTTTAATCTCAATGCCATCTATCGAGTGAATGGCAAAACTGTTTTTAAACAAATTAATCGAATTAAAAATTTAAAGAATGATTCTTTAGCATTTTGGTTATAAACAAGCTCTATAAGGCACCTTACATTTGTCAGGGACCGGGTAGCAGGATTTATTGGTAAATCTGTACCTTTAAACTGTGGCCGTTTGCGTAGGTACCTAGTATAAGTCTGTTGAAGTCATCAATTTTGACGATTAAAGAAGTCATCAATTTTGACGATTAAAAATTAGCTACTGCCAGCGTCTTTGCCTTTTTTAGCCAAATGAAAAGCAATCTATGATGTGTTGTCTCAAACTAAAATCTACCAATTTTCATCAAATTCCAATCAGTAGTTTTTACGTGAAATGGTAACAAAAATCTGTCCTCCATCTTCCATCATAATTCCAAACTGCGCGTTTTATTATCAGTGACATACCTATCGGGTCCAATATTTCATGTAAATATATCTCTAAGGCTAAAATGCCACAAAGTTCATAACACAGCTTGATTATTATATATAAAAGTATAGGTAAATAAAACACTAGAAAATGAAAATAATTTTTCGAAATAAATACACGATACCATGTACCAGAATTATAAAGTACTGCCGGCCTGATTGTAGACCGCAAAAGATGAAAGATGCATACAATTTGTGTAGCATCGGACCTAGTTATACAGCTTCGTGTAATTTGCGCGCGCGCAGTAGTTCACTGGACGTGACGACCTCTCAATCAACTGTCAATACAGGCTGTTTCAAATAGTCACTGTTTTAGTACGTAGTAAAAATAGTACATTAAATGTCCCACACTGGGATTTTCTTATGTGTCGTGGGTATAATTTCACATACCTAAACATCACACCCAGTCCCAGAACAACAATTTGTGGATCAAGAGCCAAGAATGGGTCGACTCGATCCGCGTATGACTCGGGTCGAGTCAACGGCCTCACATAAAATCGGCGTGAAACAACCACAGCGTTGTGTTTCTCCGTGTAAGTGAGGTTACCGGAGGCGCAATCCCTAACCCTCTCCCCATCCCTTTCCAATGCTTAAATATCCGAAACCCTTATCCCCAAAAGGCCCGCAACGCACTCGCGATGGACTCGCTGTTTTTTTTTTTTTTTATTATTTAATAGGTGGTCGGCATACGAGCAGACGGATTACCTGATGGTAAGCAATCAGCGCCGCCCATGGACACTCGCAACGGAGGAGTTACGAGTGCGTTGCCGACCTTTTAGGGATTAGGGATTTGGAGATTTAGGGATTTAGGAGGGATTGGGGGAGGGGAAGGATTGGGTCTCCGGTAACCTCACTCACACGGCGAAACATAACGCTGTGGTTATTTCATGCCGGTTTTCTGTGAGGCCTGGTATCACTCCGGTCGAGCCGACCCATTCGTGCCGAAGCATGGCTCTCCCACACTTTTTGATTGCTTACCATCAGGAAATCAGTCTGCTCGTTTTCAGAAAAAATAGTACATTTTTGGGTAATGAAATCGTGTCTACCATCGGTATCGCCTCCAGTACTAACTACCACCGTAAGTGGTAGCCTATGTATTTTTCCAGACTATAATCTCTCCCCGTGTAAATTTGCATTCAGATTTGTTTAGCAGTTTTACAGGTACAGTAACAAACATCTTTCCATACTAACAAACTTTTAGTTCTGTTTATAATATACCTAAGTAATATTTTGTTTTCAATAAAGTAACAAAATATCACACACATTTTATTGTGAAAAGTATCAAATGATTTTTAGCGTATACACACTCTTCTGACATGAAAAAATGATGGGACGACAATTTCAAGCAAGGCTGTGAAGCTCAGTGGTTATACAACACAGAGGAAGTACATCATACTATAATAGTATTTCTAAATTTCCATTACCAAAGAACTGAATTTTGTCACCAGATCATTAAACACGATCTAACCAAACAAAATAATATGCAAAATTAAAATAACAACATGCTGTATACACACAGTGCGCAGTCAGGCCAGTTTTTGTGGCCACAACGCCGTCCTGCCCTAACTCGAAGCACGTTGTTTCGTACTTGACCAGTGTTTATATAAATAAACATTTTTTTGTCCACACCATGATGCCGGTTTGAGCACTGTGCGTCCTGATCTAGATACGTAAACGTAACCCTTTGTTTTGTTTTTATTTCGGTGTTTATAGGTAACGGGAGTTTACTGTTGTTGGTATATTTTTAATTACTATGTAGGTTTTAATACCGTATCATATTGTTATATGTCTATATAGAGGACGTTGTGTTCCGTTATAGAGACTCTCTCCTTAGAAGCTTAAAGTATCCATTTGTCTATTAAAAACTTTAAATTAAACTAATATTATAATGTAAAGCTGATGAGTTTGTTTGTCAAACGCGCTAATCACTGGAACTACTGTTACATATTGAACAATTTTATTTGTGTTAGATAGTACCTACATTCTCGAGGAAGGCTTTAGGCTATAAATCATCACGCTGCGATTTGTAGGAGCCGAGCAGTGAGTGGAGCCGCGTATGAACTAGTATAAAATATAATGATTACCTCGAAATTTAACTATATATATAAATAGTTTTTAATTAGGGTTATCTATTTCTAGAAGCTTAGGAAAAAGACTACATCTTGTGAAGTTTTTATTTTTAAAATTGCTTGCTATACGTTTTTGTATGCAAATGTATCTACTATCTCAAGATAACAAATTCGAAAACTTAATAATCCTTGGGTCCATAATACTGTTTTCGGGTAAAGTAGGTATATGCATCTTTAATACTGCGTCCAGGTAAAGTATGTATTTAGGTAACAAAACAAAAATACCTAAAAAACAAACACATTAGATACTAAATCTTTATCGTTCGATAGTAATAAATGTGACATTTTTGTGCCCATTTTTACCTGAGATAAAGTTTTTAAGTCAAATATTTATAACAGAATAAAAACTCGATATTTAAAAAATAAAAAAAATATTGTATACTCGAGAGTGTTGACCTAGAGCCAGTATTAGGGATCTTATTAGTTTTTTTTAATTGAAAGATATAATGGCATAACTTTATGACAAATATACTTCGACTGACACGGGTATCGAATTACCTGACCTGGTCCTCGATTTTAGTTGTTAGTAATATTCAATGTTAGTTGGTCAATCGGTGAGTCATTATCGCGCCTGGTGGCAAGCAGTGAAGGTAAGCCTTCGATAGAGCCAACCCATAAGCAACCTATACAGTCTGACCTTGAAGACAACCCTTAAGGATATACAGATTCTAGCAACTCATTAGCGGTTCTGAGGAAAAAGCTTGAAGCAAAACGCTTTAATATTCACCAAAAAGCGGTCTAGAAACATCCAAACTAATTATAAATGCGAAACTAACTTGGTCTGTCTATCTGTGTTTTCTTCACGCCTAAACTACTGAACCGACTTCTGTGAAATTAGGTACAGACATAGTTAGGAACTCGAGAAAGGATAAAGGATAGTTTTTACACCAAAAATCTGCAGGAAGTCACTATTCTACGCGAACGGAGCCGCGGGCAAAAGCTTGTAGTATATAAAAGTTAGTATTTATAGTAATAACAAAGTATTAATATATATGTAAATAGATTTCGAAAATAACTTAACGTAATGTGAATGTGTATGTTATAAAAGCAGTAATGACCACACACGAGTCAAAATATTGCGCATGAGCATAATTATATGCCTTCGAAACGATCATTATCGATCTGTCTATCTTTTTGTTTTAAAAAATAAACCCGGAGACATTATCTGTGGTCCAAATCACTTTTCAAGGCTCAACTCTTTATGTAGACTTAATTGTTAGTTAAACTAATGACTAAATATGTTACCACATTGGTGATAGTCGACTAATTACTTAATTCGCATTCTAGTAACGCAACTTACTTAAATCTCTATGAGGTAAATACTTAAACCTTCTTCGAAACATAGTTATTAGTGAAAATCGCATAAAATTCCGTTCAGTAATTTTTGAGTTTATAACAAAAAAAATATTTTTAAAGAGATATGATTATGGAGTTTTTCCTATGACATAAGAAGGTTTATAGCTAAAATTGATTGAAGTAGATGCACTGTACACAGTACTGGCCGCATTTTCTACCATCAGAGTTTTTTGAAAAATAATTGTTTTTTTTTCCAGAATGTTACTTACCTCGACACACTGTGTATAATCACGGCGACATTTTCGTTGACTCTGCCAGGAGCGAACTGGTGACAAAAGAAAAATATTCATTAATAAAAAAAAAATATACTTAGGGATTTTTATAAAACATGAAAACGACAAGTTTTGGGCATCCATTCACAACTACATACGTATTATGTATGTATGTATGAGGTTGTAGCGCCAGCATTAGGTGGCCAATGTGTTAATAATATTAATTTGATCATATTTCTGAGATGGACCAAGAAACGCTACCTGGTCCAGGAAACATTAAGAAAACAACTTTTTTCGAAGATAACCTTTAATCGGGCCGATACAGGTGTTCGATATGAATCCAAGAATAAATTAATTAAAAATAAATAATTACTTTGGCACTTTTAAAGGAAATTCACTTAATATGCATCATGCATCATAAATGTATTGCATTTTTTTGTGGAGTTGCTTGCTCATTCTTCTCGCTTATAGCACCTAGCTTTACTGACGGACACACTGACGGACTAATATTCTAGTTTGACTTTCAAAAGAAAGAAAACCGGCGTGAAACGATCAAAGCGTTGTGTTTCGCCGTGTGAGAGAGGTTACCGGAGGCGCATCCTACCCCTCCCCCCATCTCCAAATCCCTTATCCCCAAAAGGTCGGCAACATACTTGTGGGTGGCGCTAATGGCTTACCATCCGGTAATCCGTCTGATCCTTTGCCGACCTACTTATAAAAAAAAATCTAGGTCGTTTTCGTATCATCCCAGCCAAGCTGACCCATTACTGGCGAATGGTAGCTTCTAAAACTTCTTATAACCATTATGAAGCCTTGATTTTAACTGCCAGATAAATACAGTACGTGTCTATGTGTCACAGAAATAGTGAAACTGGTCGTAACTTATTTTTAATGAACACAGTTTTGAATATTATATGCAATAAATATCAGTTTGAATTTTATGTTTTCTACGCCAAATGATAACAACGATTATAGATAAATCAGTATTAATTGATTCTATAGACATTTATAATTGAAATCACAGTTATTAAATCAAATATAAAATATACAAGTTATTACATAAACACGTAACTAAGGAAAATAAATTATAAGGATTCTGTATCTTAATATTAAAACTGTAATCAATTATATAATTTTTTACTAGCTCCTCTCGCGCGGTTTCACCCGCTGCTCAGCTCCATTTGATCGTAGCGTGATATTTTATAGCCTATAGCACTCAGGAATGCTGTAGCTATCTATCAGTCTACCAAAGATTACCCCCTACATACAAACTTACAAATTTTACCTCTTTATAATATAAGTATAGATTTTCAACTTAATTTTTAATACAATTTTCATAAAGTAATATTATTTTGTATGGTTATACTTTTTCATAGGTATTATTAACTTTAGCTAAATAGTTTCAGCCAGGGTGAGCGCAATAAGGTACCGCGCGGCCTCGGCCCAGAGCAGGAGAAGGAACGGAGGGAATTTTTAGTCAGTAAGAGACTGATCCCTCTCACCTTACCATTGGCGGGAGAAGTCGTTTGATTTTCGCCTCACAAAAAAATGCTATTTTTTTATTATACGTATTTTAATAATTAACCTTTAAGTAACGACGTGCATTTTTTTAACGTTAGTATCGATGTGAGGCCTGAGAGGCCGCGTATATTATATAGTTTTTTTAAAGAAAGTTATGAATTAAATTATTTGTCCTTGCATTATGACGAAAAATAAAGGTTTTTGAAAATAAATAAATATATAAATGTAATCAACTTTATTTATTTTTTTATTTTAAGTCTACAATAATATTTGGCTTGAATTTTGGAAAAAAATCAGACTCTTTGTTATAAAAATCACAAACATCAAAAATACTCCTCTCAGAATAACAAAAAATTGTATTTCTCACTTACGACTAATATAACTCTTAGAAAAAAATATAGCAAGAACATAAACCTTCTGAAAAAAAAATTGTCCACAGTCCAACTACACCTTCAATTCTAACTACACTTTCAGGGTACACTTGTTTCGCGCACTGCAGACAAACGTGTTTTTTGCACGGATTTCACGGACACTTTTCAACTTAGGTGGACATGAACGACATGTCTTACGTGTCTTGACTTCCTCAGCTCCATCTTCACATGTCTCTGGCTTATCAGAACCAAGTACTTTTGCGAAACTAATTCTAAATTAATGGGGCAACCTTAGGTTACAAATTTCGGTTAAATCTTCGCTTTATATGCTCTAATATTTATTTATTTATTATAGACTTCATGCACAAAACATTCATGTACATAGGCGGACTTAATGCAATGAGCATTCTCTACCAGTCTACCTTTGGGTGATGCAGAGATAATCTGGTGGCAACCAACTAATACCAACTGTCGAGCAAATTTTTTTATGAAGTCTCCTCTGTCAGTTTGTCTTCCCACATGTATATAATGTAAAAGATGAGATTTGACAGAACTAATATCCAAAATCCGGTAAAAATTTGTCATAGCCCCAAGACCCAGCGTATTGATCGGCGGCTGCAAGTATATTCATATATCTGCAGCTGCAGCCGCCTTTCGTAGAATAATAAAACTGTATAATTTCTGGCTTCCCTGAGTCCGTGCTTTTTCCTTCATTACGATGCATTGATGAAGGTAAAATGACCGCTCTTTTCTTCTTGGGAACATTAGACAATAACGTTGTATCTTTTGTGAAAACCATATAAGATTGATTTTTCTGGTCGCACAACTATTTCACTTATTAGCGGAAGTCCCTGGTGTATCCATAGTTCATAATATCTGAGAAAATACCAGTCTCCTAACTTACGTAAGTACCGACGTGAGACCTGAGAGGCCGCGTCGGAATTTCAAAACGTTTTTACTCACCAAATACGCATGCGACAATAACACTGCCTGTTGCAACGTCAACATGGGCACTAAACTTACAGCTACTTAAAATCGGGGATTGGTATTTTATGGGGTAAAGGGTAAACTAACAAGTCAAGTACCTGTCGGGGCCTCTCAGACCGCACGTCGGTACTTAAAGGTTAATGCTATGCTTACGTACCTTTAAGAGATTGTTACACTAGTATAGTTTTATGGTCAGCCAAATAAATGAAATAGATCCATGTATAGATAAGAACGAGTCCTAATTTCTTAGCTCGATAATTCTTTTCATGCTGTGTTCGTCAGGAGAAGGTTATTATATTTTTTTAATTAGAGGAGAAAATTTGGCCGGTGTTGGTTCTCTAACAACACAAATTACTGACACAGAAGAAGCTGGAAAATCGCGCGAAGCAAGGGTGGGATGCTAGACCAAACTAATATTATAAATGCGAAAGTAACTCTGTCTGTCTATCTTACCTTCACGCCAAAACTATTGAACCGATTTCTGTGAAATTTAGTACAAACATAGTTTGGAATTCGAGAAAGGTCATAGGATAGTTTTTATATCAAAAATCTGCAGAAAGTTACTATTTTACGCAAAGGGCATCGCGGGCAAAAGCTAGCAATAAATATAATTGATTTTATTTAACTGCATAACCTCAATGCAGCGACCTCCTTTTACATAGTAAATAATTATTTATCCAGTCACTTCCTAAGCTTAAAATAACACTAATTATTCGTTTGAAAATATTGCTTATCTTATTGATAAAACGCTCTAACGTCAGTACTAGACGACGACTAGTCGACACTTAAGTGAGGAAAAGTTATATTTGCAAATTAATCTTATTAAAGGGTTTCTGTTCCACCATTTTTTATGTAATTGGTCGGCAAACGAGCAGACGGATTACCTGATGGTAAGCAATCAGCGCCGCCCATGGACACCCGCAACGGAGGAGTTACGAGTGCGTTGCCGACCGTTTAGGGATAAGGGATTTGGAGATTTAGGGATTGAGGAGGGATTGGGGGCGGGGAAGGATTGGGCCTCCGGTAACAACACAATGCTGTGGTCGTTTCACGCCGGTCTTCTGTAAGGCCGTGGTATCACTCCGGTCGAGCCGACCCATTCGTGCCGAAGCATGGCTCTTCCACACTTAACCTTTAGAAAAGAGGGTCTACCATGACATGATGTAAAGAAGGATGGAGCTATAAAAGGTATAGCTCCATCCCTCTTTCTCGCCCGAAAGATTCACGTTTTAACACGTCATGGTAGGCCCCAAGGACGCAACTATGTGCCATATACTTCAGACAAATTATGTTCTTAATTCAAATGTATGAATGGTATATAAAGACCATATGAAACAGGACCTTAATACACTTGCCATTAGGATCGTTTTATGTTTGATACATTTATGTAACACCCTTTTTTTTGAGTGAGAAAAATCATCATATAACTTCTCTTCTCTAGCCCAGGGCGAGGCGAGAGGGAGTGTCAGACTCTTACTGACAAAAAGCTACCATGTTCCTTCTTGCTCTAGGCCGAAGCCGCGGTACTGTATTATTACGTTTGCCCCGCTACCTCGATATAATGCCAATAACAAGAGAATTATGTTAATTCTATAATATAAATATGAATATCGAAATGTGTTGGCAAGCGCATAACTCAATAACGACTGGACCAATTTTGCCAATTCTTTTTTTGTTATGCTCGTTATTCTAAGGAGAAGGTTCATAGGAAAGAAAACTTTAGAAAAGTAAAGTGGAATTTTAGGAACTAGTGGTTTCACCCGCTGCTCAGCTCCATTTGATCGTAGCGTCAAGTTTTATAGCCTATAGCACTCAGGAATATTGTAGCTATGTATCACTGAAATAATTTTGGCAATCCGACCAGTGGTTCCAAAGATTACCCCCTACATACAAACATACAAATTTTACCTCTTTATAATATTAGTATAGATTGACAACTCTTTCGGTGCCGGGCCGTTCGCTTGCAAAACAAATGACGGACACCGTGGTGGTATGCCCTGTATTTTCTATTCCGTGGGTATGCCCATGCGAAGCAAGGGCGATCCGCTAGTTCTTTCATTCTTAAATGCAATACAGACTTCATTAAACGAAGTCTGATTGTACAACTGATCTAAACCAAGACTCCTTCTAAGTAAAGTAAAGTAGTACATTACTTCATTAAAGTACTTCATCTAATTTGAATCGTGAAGCAATATCCGTCAACGTCCTGCTAACATAAGGGCATAGCCTACATACTACGCATACAGAAAGTGGGAGTAACGGTAGCAAAAAATTTAATTGAGATTTACTTCGACCTCATTTACAGCTACCTTCTTGCTAATTCTGACTAATTGAGGAACGAACTCTTTAGTAGGAAGTGAACCTAAGGCTGGCCACAAAAAGACAAAAATAAAAAAAATAAAAAATCAAAGGAAAGACCACAAAATTCCATATTCCATATTACTCATTGTTAGCAAAATTTATACCTATCCTACTATCCTACAAATATCATAAATGTGATAATGTAACATACATTATTCTTTCACGTAAAAACAGCTCAACCGATTTGGTTGGAATTTTGTATGTAGATAGGTTATATCCTGGACTCAGGCTGCTTTTTGTCACCATACCACGCGGACGAAGCATTGGGCCAGAGTTATTTATACTATAAAACTTGTTAAGATCCTAAATATTAAAAGTCAACCCTATTATCCTTGTCTATACCATAAGACAAATACAGTATCTACAAAAAAGTTTTAATAAAAAGACAAAGGGCTGATTTTTCAATGGTTAGATAAAAGTTAGGTAGGGAATAATTATGATGTTGTCGCGTCAGAATGTTTGTATAAGACAGTGACAGCAACAATTTTATTCCATTTTATCTGACTATTGAAAAGTCTACGTAATATTTTTGTCACCACTACATTGACAAACGCCAAAGTCTTGTAATTTTGAAATACTTATCGTTCTTTTTTCCTTTATAATTAAACTAATTAATAAAGATTACGACAGCCAAGTAAATAGGTCTCGGAATCGTCTACGACACGCTCATTACTCGATTCTACTCGATTTATATCGAGTTAATCAGTTAAGGTGGGGACATACTAGCCGGTTGATTTTATGTCGTTAAAACAATTTGTTTTTCTAAGTACTATAATTAAAATATTAGCCTTGATTATTTTTTTCTTCAAATTATTTTGTGGTTAACATTTCACTTTGTAATAAATTTGTGATAGGTAAATGGGTGATTCTTAACATCAATTAAAAAAAAATTAATAATGTCATTATCCTCAACCGAAAATTAACGAGTCTGCTGATTAAAACACAGATAATTATTTTATTAAATTAAATCTCACCACTGCTTACAAGCAACCGATTAAAAATATTATATAAAATAAATTACTAAGATGTTTAACAACCTGGGAGGATAATGACTTGTTAAATAAAAGTTAAGGTTTTTTGGAGAATCACCCAAATATGAAATATTTTGTTCGGATTGTATGTACTTATATTGTGTTAATATATATTTTTTTATGTAATAGGTCGGCAAACGAGCACACGGATGGTAAGCAATCAGCGCCGCCCACTGACACCCGCAACGGAGGAGTTACTAGTGCGTTGCCGACCTTTTAGGGATTAGGTATTTGGAGATTTAGTGATTGAAGAGTGATTGGGGGAGGGGAAGGATTGGGCCTCCGGTAACCTTACAAACACAACGCTGTGGTTGTTTCTACCATGACCAGATCCCATAATACGTTAGATAGGCGTTAATACCGTTGTCGCCGTAAAATTGAAAACAATAATTTACAACTAAATAAAAATATTTTATAATCTTAAAATATACTGTTTTAGAAACTTAAAGACAATTAAATTTAATTCTAGAGAAAATACATATGTTATTAGATATAATTTACTAAAACACCAAACATAAATCTTAAAAAAATATTGATATAGATTATCGACACCGAGTTGTGTGCCTTTACCTTACTAAAGTATCGAGTTTCATTCGATTGCGTAACCATAGTGGCGAGTTCTCGATTATAATCGGACTGTGTAAACGGTTTATGCTTGGTATTAAATATCCCGGGATTTGAAATTAATATTGTATTTAATTGTTTCCGAGTTTTGCATTTTGCTGTGGGATTTTCTTGCATAATTATGGTGGTGGAGATATGGCATAAATAGATAGACGCTGGTTTAAAGAAAGCTTGTTTCCTTCATCGTGTTTGCTAAGGGTTTGTTTAATATTTCTAATTCTGTGTTTAAAATTATATTCTCCCGGATTTTTACCAAACGGTTTTGGGGTCTCAACTTAATTTAGCTGTCTCATGCATGAGGGTTCGAAACCTGGCAAGTACCTACTGATGTGACTTCTTCCAATTTAATTTTCCAATATGAAAAAAACACTGACAATCGGTGAAGGTAAACATTGTGAAGAAACCTGGACTTGGATCATTTCTAATTACAAATTTCAAATCGCCAATCCGTCTTTAGCAAACGTGGTGATTAATACTCAAACCTTTTCTGTGTGAGAAGAGGCTTAGCACGGCAATGGCCACGAATATGCTGATTTTATGATGTGACTAAGGACGCATACCTAGAAATGGCAAGCGTCTGCTTTTCACAACTAGCTAAGAGTGACTAATATTAATCAAAGTATTACAAGTAATTTGATAAAAAAACTCGTTAAAATGTATATATGTACTTATTAAAATGGTACTGTGACACTATAAAGAGTCGGGAGTTAATTAAAAAAATCTTTAGTTTAAGGTTAGACTTGATTACTTCAAATAATATTAACCAATTTAAATGTTCGTATCTAGAATGTAAAACTATGATTTTAGAAATAACCTCAGTTTATTGAATAATATAATAAAACAACGAGACATTACGAAATTCATATCTTTGACACCAATAGGCAAAATAAAAAATAAACTATAATCCAAACTAATATTATAAATTCGAAAGTAACTCTGTCTGTCTGTCTGTCTGTCTTTTCTTCACGCCTAAACTACTGAACCGATTCCTGTGAAGTTTGGTACAGACATAATTTGGAACTCGAGAAAGGACATAGGATAGTTTTTATACCAAAAATCTGCAGGAAGTAACTATTACACGCTAAAGAATTCGCGGGCAAAAGCTAGTATTCAATATTTAAGAGAAGAGAAAGAAAATGTAAAAACAGTTTATATAACACAAATTGATTTTATGATAACAATAAATCAAAATATCATACTTGTACACTGTCACTTGATTGTCACTTCTGAAATCTTTTAATCTTTGTCCTAGTTACATAACCAATTTAATAAGACACTTATATATACTTGTCATAAATCACAAAAGAGGTCAAGATTTGTTGGACATTTTTTCGATTTCATTACGCGCTTAGTAGCTACTGGAAGTGTTAATAATTGTCAGCTAGACGCAAAGATTGCGTGCGATAGGATTATAAATTATAGAGCCGTGGACCACCCTTGACATAGATTAGCAACTGTCGTATCTAGCTGAGTTGTTTATTATTATATCTTTGTCATTTATAGTTTCTCACGCTACGGTTTTGGGGTGCGTGCCAGAAGACCTCCCCGTGGTGCACCCTGGGTGCGGGCGACAGTCTCCCTAACGGGATGGTGACAGGGTTGGTTTGACTGTCGCCCGCAGCGAACTTCTGGCCGGGCGGAGAACCCGGTCGGGTTCTAGAGGCGACCGGCTCTATGCTGGCATAGAGTCTACGCCTCCGTGGGGGCGTCCCTCCGCACGACTCTCTGGACCTAGCAGAGAGCGGGGCGGAGAAACAAGGGCGGCGCTCGTTGTGCACTCACCCTGCCAATGAGTAGCATCGGGGCACTAGCTGCGCCCGACTGCACCCGTCGATATCGTAATCCGGGAAGAGATCATGGTCATGTTTTATGACTCGGACCGGGACGAGGGTCTTGGCTTAACCGCCCGGACCGCGAGGAAGATAACCTCTATAAAAAATTCCTCCAATACTAAGTTCTGGTGCGCGGCGAGGGTATGTATGGCTGAGGAGTAGGATCAGTCGTGAGCGCACCCCCAGCTAGGGGACCGGTGGACCCCCTAGTTGGGAGACAAATGCACACTTACCCAGGGACAGGGGGCTCTC